TGACTTACCGTAGACGCTAACTCAGGTGTTGAACAACTCTACTGACTCCTATTCGGGCCACAGTATCAGACTTTACAGACAGAGGGACCAAGACAGGCCCTTCGCGGGATTTTCTACCTACATGGTGAGAAAGTTGGTAAGCAAGCAAGCAAACAAATGAGCAAAACAGTCACAGGTTGTGTTAAGTATGAGGAGAATCAAAAGGACAGTCAGTGGATGGAGGTCCACAGGGAGTCCAGGACGGCTCTCTCAGTGGAAACGAGTCGCCACTGGAGACGCAGGGAAGGGTGCTGTCGGCCAACACTGGCCCTACTGACATTCTGTTGTGGGGACTGTCTGTCCATTGTAGCAGGGGCCTCTCCCACTGGATACTGCCCTCCCTCCCCCGAAATGTGTTTCTGGCCATTGCCAAATGCCTCCTGGGAGCCCCACCCCCCACCCCCAGGCTGAGAGCCACTACTGTAGACACAGGGAATTAAGAAGGTGAAGCCTCAGACAGCATGAGACACTGTTAGAGAGCTAGGGACAGGCCATTCGGGGTCTGCAGGCCGTGGCAAGAATTTGGATTTTATTTTACACTAGTGGCCCAGTGCACGAAATTCGTGCACGGGGGGGGGGGGTGTTGTCCTTCAGCCTGGCCTGCACCCTCTCCAATCTGGGACCCCTCGGGAGATGTCCAATTGCCGGTTCAGACATCCCTCTCACAATCCGGGACCACTGGCTCCTAACCGCTCACCTGCCTGCCTGCCTGATCGCCCCTAACTACTCTGCCTGCTGGCCTGCTTGCCCCCAACTGCCCCCCCTTGTCGGCCTGCTCACCCCCAATTGCCCCCCTGCTGGCTTGATCGCCCCCTACTGGCCTCTTCTGCCAGCCTGCTCGCCCCCAACTGACACCCCCTGCTGGCCTGCTCATCCCCAACTGCCCCCCCCCCCCGGGCCTGCTTGCCCCCAACTGCCCTCCCCTGCTGGCCTGCTCGCCCCAACCTGCCCCCCACTGCCAGCCTGCTTGCCCCCAATTGCCCACCTGCTGGCCTGCTTGCCCCCAACTGGCCCCCCTGCTGGCCTGCTCACCCCCAACTGCCCCCCCTGCTGGCCTGATCACCCCCAACTGCCCTCCCCTCTTGGCCTGATCACCCCTAACAGCCTCTGCTTCAGCCCTGCCACCATGGCTTTGTCCAGGTCTCCCGGTCTAATTAGCATATTACCCTCTCATTAGTGTAGATAAATGGCAAGTCATTGAACACTTTTAAGTCGGGGAGTAACATGTCTATATTCAAAACAGACTACTCGGGCTCCTGTGTGGGAAATGGGTTTAAACCAACGAGGGTAAACGCGACCTCAGGGCCAGGCACTGAAGGAGATTGAAGAGCAGCCAGCGAGGTTGGGGCAAAGGCGGGAGAGGATGCATCCCAGCCACCGGGCTGAGTGTGCGGAGGGAGTGGTGGCCGGTGACTGCATCGTTCCGGTGACCTCATCACCAGGTCACCGCCTGAAGACTTTTCTGGAATCGCTCTGTTTAGCTCATCTTCTTGCTTAGCTATAATTTCCCCTACGAATCTTCTGTATATAATTCCAAAGTAATCATCTTGTTCTAGAACACACAGAGGCTTCCTGTCACAGCCCTACACCGGCCTTGTTTATTCCTGTTTCTAAAAATTTGCTCTTGAAGTAGCCGTGTCTCTCCCCTAACGCCCTCGAACACAACCATCGTGAACCCTGCAGGCTGAGGCTCATGCTTGATCTCCCTCAGAAACCCCCCTCCCACCCCCAACAATTCTGTTCCACACAGATGTCTCTATTCTCTAAAAAAATCAACGAAACTCCTAATTCTTCACTCCATCTGCTGAGCATGAACTTGTTAAGCATCTGTGCCAGGCACTGTGCTGGGCCCTGGAAATAAAACAATGCAAAAGTACAGTCTCAGCTCTCCAGGACCTTAGCTAGCACGGAAACAAAGCTTGTCAGCAGCAGTTTGTCTAGTATCTGATCCGAGTCAGCCATTCAGTGGCTGCTTCTCCGGCCGTGGGCCGCCCTGCCCCGCCCAGCTCAGTCCGGGCGCACCACGCCTGGAGCTGGGGATCGCCTCCTGGAATTACTCATCACTGCACCTGCTACTCATCCTTTCCCGGAGTCTGAGTTACCTTCGCTCCCGAAGAGGGGTAACAGGCGCGTCAGTGTGATGGTGCAGGCGATGCAAACTCTGGCTAGGCCTCAGCTGAACCATGAGGGGGTCCTTTTCTTTAAAAACCCTCATCAGAGGATATTTTTTTCCATTGCTTTTTTCAGAGTGGAAGGGAGAGAGGAGGGAGAGAGAGAACCACTGATGTGAGAGAGACACATCGACTGGGGGCAGGGAGTGAACCTGCAACCCATGTATGTGCCCTTAATGGGGAATCGAACCCATGACCCTTTAGTGCGTGGGCCAACGCTCTAACCACTGGGCACACCTGCCATGGCATTAGGCCGTCTTTGGCCTGCCAAGCCCATCCCCTTGTATGATCTTATGCCAGTGTGATATACAGAGATCCTTCTTTGTAAATGTGGGTCCATCCAGAAATAACTATGTTGTGTCATTCCTAACTACAACGTTTCCTGGCACCCTTGCAGTTTGGAATGTCACAACATAGGTTTTAAATGTATTTTAAAATGCCTATTTCTGTCCTAATATGCAGGACAATTTTCCATGTTTGCTTCAGATTCACCCCGACACTCTACTTGTGACCTATGACACATCCATCACTTAAAACCTGATACTTAGACATGCCAAGAACTGGCAGGAGGTGTGAAATGATATGAGTAAAATAAGTGTACAGTCAGGGTTTAGTCAAACCCCTGAGCAGAGTGGACTGCGCGGGCATTCATTCTTCCGTAATCTCCCAGTGAGGGAGGCAGATAGGGTGCGTCTATGAGCCACAGTTCAAATTATTTTTTTAAGAGTGGAGGTGGGGGCTGCTCCGTCAGTTATGTTTGCATAGAAATGACTATAGTACAATATCGAAGTTATAATAGAAATACGCCCCAAAACGATGAAAGAGGGGCACGTCTGTCTCGGAAAGTTATGAAAAGTCCCACGGAAGAGACAGGTTTGGATGGAGACCTGGAGGGTCTGGAGGGAACGGAGCCAGATCTCAGGAGCCAGGAGTGTGCAGCCAATGGGAAAGGACGCAGACCGTGAGGGGATCTGCTGGTGATGGGGAGCCGGCACAGTCCTGGCCGAGGAACCTCGCGACCGTATTTTCACGTTGGAGAGATGACTGGCAGCATGGAGGCTGGGCTGGAGTGGGACGTAACTAGAGGCTAGTCCCAGGGCGGTGAGTCAGGAGGGAGGATGACGACTCCATAGACGGAGAAGGGAGAGTACAGGTTTAAGACAGGCGGGTGTGACAGATACTGAAGGAGATAAGAGCCAATAGGATGGGATACCAGGCTAGAGGAAATGAAGGAAATACAATACAGTATGTCCTCGGTTACGTCGGAGATCTGTTCCTACGGCGCGATGTAACGCGATTTTCGCCGTCATTTGGAACCCACCTACATAAGCATCTGAGTCACATGGAGCACGTACACAGCAGGAATGAAGTGAAACAGTAAAAAAAAAATTAAAAGAAAGATAACAATTCCTGACCTTTACTGGTGATAAATAAAAAACATAAAGCACATATGTACATACGTCGAAATGATGAAACTTTTTTTTTAAATAAATGGGAGATGGTGATGTAACCACGAAACAACGTTCGTTGAGTCTAACGTAACCTGAGGACTGTCTGTGTAGAGCAGCCGGTTCTCAACCTGTGGGTCGCGCCCCCTTTGGGGGTCGAACGACCCCTTCACAGGGGTCGCCTAAGACCACTGGAAAACACATCTATAATTACATATTGTTTTTGTGATTAATCACTATGCTTTAATTATGTTCAATTTGTAACAATGAAATTGGGGGTCACCACAACACGAGGAACTGTATTAAAGGGTCGCGGCGTTAGGAAGGTTGAGAACCGCTGGTCTAGAGGAACTCGTGGATTTCTGACTTGGCCAACTGGGTGCCGGTATCTGAAACAGGGAATGAAAATGGGCTTGGTTCCAGGTGGGTGGGGAGAGACGCTGCACCGAAGTAGGAAATGGTAGATGGCGATGTCAATGTGGGGCCCAGGAAGGTACCTGTGTGAGGTCGAATGAAGATGCTGTTGCCTAGAGCAGGCACGCCAGGAGGAACATTCAACACGCGTCAGCCAGGTGGTCCCCGAACCAGGAGACGGGGGCAGTAGGGGAAGCCCAGAGGAGTGCATGGGGTTATCATTATTATTTTTAAAATGTAGAGTTTTTACCCTCCTCCTTCCAAAGTTTTAAATTTCCGGAAGGCAAAGAACCATGTCTTAAATGTCACTGAATTTGAACGCAGTGAGTGCTCGAGAAATCCTCAATTCTGTTCGAGGTGCTGTTCGTCCACATCATCCTATTTCCTCAAATAAACCTGGAGTTTCCTACGAGTGGACCTACATCAGCGCCCCGCCAGCCCCCGCTTTGGGATGAGCTCCAAGACTATTTACAACGGACGGAGGCGGCGTTCAGGCTCAAGACGCCCGCGGGTTGTCGTTTTCTTACTACAATTCCCAAGAAACAATTCACTAGGAAGCCAGGCTTAGCCTAATTCCCCAGAAAGTGGAAAGCTGCTGGGAAGCACGCACGGAGGCAGCCACAGTGTTCTTAGCACATTCTGCCTTTAGCCGGGTCAGCAGGTGTGGGAAAGCCTGCATTTTAACCGCCGCGAACCGCCGCGCCGCCGGGGATGCACACCTGCACACGGCCCGCCGCCGACAGCTGCAGGGACCGCGGACGTGCACGGGGGCTGGTGCCAGGGAGACACGCAGCTCCCAGGCTACACCCCGACCCGAAGCCCTGGGCTGGGGACTCGCCTCCCGGGCTCAGGACACTCCCCGCGGGCACCGGAAGAGCGACCTGCACGAGAGGGCGCGCCCCTCCCTCGCCGGCGCCGCCAGCCCTACCTGCAGCCACCTGGCCCGGCAGCCAGACCCAGGGCGGCGCCCGGCGCCCGCCTTCGGAAGATGCTCCAGCCCAGCCTCGGCTCTCGCGGGATCTCGCGCCCCAGCGAACCCCCGCGGGAATACCGCCCCGCAGGTCCGACCCAGGAACTCGGGCCGAGGCGGGGCCGGCTGGTGAGCGTGGGGGCGGGGCCAGCGCGAGGGGGCGGGGCGAGCGCGCGGCGCCGAGGGGCGGGGCTGCCGGGACCTGTTGATCGCAGGTGTCACGGCCCGGCCAGGCCCGGGGTGCCTGCGTGTGCGCATGCTCCGTGCGCAGGGTCGCGCTCTGGGCGGCGGAGTCCGGCCGCCGGTGCTCCAGTTCCCCGCGCGCGGCGGTGGCGGCGGCGGCCGGCGTGTCTGCCCGGTGCTGGCGCGAGGGAGAGGAGGGCGCCCTGCGGGAGAGGAAGGGCCGAGCGCAGGTAAGTCTCGGGAACGTGTCCCTGGATGGAGACCCAGCGACCTGCGACCCCGCGGCCCCCACTGGGACACCAGGCTCCAGCCCCGAGACCCCGTCCGCCCGCCACCCACTCCCGGGGCCCACGCGGGCACCTGGCCGGGCCCGAGGGCCCACGCTGAGCGGGTGGCAGCGGCGGCGGCGCTGCTGCATTGGCGGGCGGGTGGCCCGGGAGGACCCGGGTCCCGCGGGGGCGCTCGGGGCGCTGGAGGCGGGCGCGCGCCGCTGCCCCGGTACCTGCCCGGCCCCGGCCCCGGCCGCTGCCCGTAAAGGGGTCCGCGCGGCCGGGTGCCCCTCCGTGGAGACCACAGGTGACCGGACCCGCGCGAGCCCCTGGGCTGCTGGTTGCTGGGGAGCAGGAGTCACTTCCAAAGTTAATGTTTAGCTTCTGAACGGTCACCCATGGGATGTTTACCAGCGCCTTTTGCACGTCGGAGCACAGGAGGCACCTGCGCAGGTGCCGGGAGGGTCCCGGAGCTGCCGTCTGAGCGCCTCGGGCTTTGCTGCCCGCTGCGGAGTTTTCTGCATTAGCGCGAGGTCTGATCGAGGCTTGCAAAGTGCACTGCGAGGCTTAACGTGTCACCCAGCCATTTGCCAAATGTTGCTTTATCTGGGAAAAACCAGTTTGTGTGCGGGGGAGGGGAGGGGAGGTTTTCCGCAGGGCATTTTCAAGGCTGTGTTTTGAGGGATGTTCCACAGTAAACTTAGGAAGTGCTTTGTGCTGAGGGGCTCTGATTCGCTTTTAGTTCTGGCTCTGGAAGGAAAAGCACGGCTGGTTCTCAGGATTGCAAAGGAGTCGCCAGTGCCGACACAAAGTGAACTTTTGGCTAAATGGATACTTAACTGGTTAGTTTTACTCCCGTTCTTTTTTAAGTTCCATGGTTTGGGCTCTAGGCAAAGACCCTGTGTCCCGTTGAAGAGAAATTAAACACACAAAACGCGTTTTGCAAAAGCAGTATGTGATTTATCTGCCATTGTCATAAGAATTCCAAATGGACTAACTCACTGTAGGTAGGAGTTAAGTGTGGCCTGAAAAAACAAGGGTTTTTGTTTTTGTTTTACGTTTTAAAGGATTTTGAAATTAGCTGTTTGGACAGCGCGACCAGGCTCATGATGACTGGACCTAAATCATGAAAGTGATTTATTGAAATTTGTTCACAAATTAAACTCACTGGTGGTGATGTGTATTCTTTCCGACAGTGTATAAAAAAAAATAAGTGCCCAAGAATACACATTTCTTTTTCCCTATTAATTTTTGAAAAAGAGTTTTTATAAATTTTGGTAGGTGGAACTTGATACTAATAGGCAACCCATTAATATTATTGTTTCTCTAGATGGTACAAAAAGTAGGATCTAAAAAGATAGCTATTTTAACGGGGCAGGGGCACCTTTTCCACCTAGTTTACTTTTTTCCTTAAAAAGAAAAGAAAATCACAAAACTCATAATTTAGTATGTTCTGTGACTCAAGGTCTTTTATATTATTTAGTGTCAAGTAAATATTGTAAACTGAAGTATCAGGAAATAAATTTTGGAATTATATGGCTTAGAAGTTTGTTTCAGCAGGACAGAGAGTTAAATTATGAAAAGCTGATCTATTTTAAGGTGAAACCCACATTTACAAGTCACAGTCAGAGGCATTTTGCCTGCAGGAGCTGTTTGGAATTCACTGGCCTACCATTCCACAGGGGACATTGCTTTACCCTCCAATTGTCTGAAAATACGTTTGAAATCTGCAAAGTGGTAGGTGAAGCTGCCCTACAGAGACGCTGTCTTACTAAGCTACCCAGCACGTCTTCTTATTGGACAGCTGCAACTGTAAGGTGTTTCTCCATTACAGACCTCAGAGAGCCTGCAGAGGCAGCTGCCCACTGCAGCTGGCAGTGAGTGTTCCGATGCAGAGCTGCTTGGTATGCCTGGGCCCAAAAGCTTGTCAGTCTGGCCTCATGTTGCTCATGGGCTCTTGGATGAAAGGAGGAATGTGCTCATTCGTGTCATCTGTGGAGAGCTAGCAGGAATTAGTGATGACACAAACGTGGCGTTAGTGTATTATTAATTTTGTATCGCTGTAATGACTTTGGATTTTGCGTTGCAGTATGTGCGCGTAATAAGAGCAAGAAGTGGCTGCAGCCTGTATACTACTCCCACAGAGCAAATCTTCAAAGATCATATAAGCTTTAAATAACTGTATGTAAAACCCTAATCTGGCAAGTTATGAATTTTTTTAATACTAGGAATACTACATATTTAGAATATTTAGGCAAAAAGTATCTGTTGTTTGCTTTTCCAGGTTAACCTGTATCTTCTATCAGGAGTTCCTAAACTGGGCTCCATGCTTAGAACCAGAGCCTGTGGTTAGAGCTGCATTTTAACATAATTAACATTATTCTGAGGAGTCCATAGGCTCCATGAGCTACAAAAGGTGGCTCTGACACACCAACGCTAGAAACCACTGCATCCGGTTGAACAATTTTAGATTTACCGTATGTTCATATTCGTAATTTATCAGAAAATAAAATGTTATGCAACGTAAACCATATTTGAATATCTTAGCTGGTTTGATGAACAAAATCAGTTACCTGTGTTGTCATGGTATTTTTTATTTAATTTTTTGGAAATCATTACATTAGCCTTCTATTTTGCAAATATTGACCTGCAGAAAGCAGTTTGAAGAAATACTTTTCCTTTGGGATATGGAACTTTTATATTTACCTTTTGTGCTTTGCCAAGTTAGCAAACTTGTTCAATGAACATTTATTGACCGAAAAGTTGTATGCTAGGCACTAGGGATTCAAAAACCAGTAGACAGTGTGAAAATGGTCAGATATATGAGTTCTTCCTTTTCTAAGCCTCGTCTCTGGTTCTTGCCAGTCCTCCCCCAGCTGCACCGAGTTTCTGAAGATAAAAGAGTCTTTTTTCTCATACTCTTGCCTTCATGAGATGCCGCTTCTCCTCTCTCCCCATTCCCTTTTCAGCTCCCCGTGACCACACTGCGCCTGGAAGTGTGTTCTGATCCAGCAAAGGACGGTAGAGTACCTCATCCTTGCGTTAGGCACCACTCACTGCACTTGATACACTCTTTTGTTGAGGATTTATACTGCATCCTACAGGGAAGACAGATAATGAAGGGCATCTGAAGAGAGTGCAGGTCCTCTCATCTAAAACGTCAGGAGAGCAGGATGGGCCCCACGGGACGGAGTGCGGCACGGGGAGCGTTCTCAGCACTGAGACAAGGCGACCCCAATGTCAAGGTAACATTTAGTCGCTCTCATTTTTTATGGCGGCTGGACTTCCTGTTTTTTATGAATTTAAGTGGTCAGTAGGGATGTTTGTGGTTATTTTTCTGAAAAGTTTTACGGGCAGCAGTCCCCTTATCTGTGATTTAGCTCTCCCCGTTCCAGGCACCTGCACTCAACCGCAGACTGAAATATTAAATGGAAATTCCAGAAATAAACAGTTCGTGAGTTTGAATCGTGCACCATACTGAGTAGTGTGACGACATCGCGCACTGTCCATGCTGTCCTGAGGTGACTCGGCATCTCCGCTCTGAGAATGCCCCTGCCCGTCAGTCAAGCTATCGGGGGTATCACATCCACTGTCTCAGAACACAGTGCTTGTGTTCACGTCACCCTCATTTTACTTAGTGATGGCCCCCAAAGCCATGGTGGTGATTCAGACGTGCTAAAGAGAAGTCAGAAAGTGCTTCCTTTAAGTGGAAGGTGAATTTTCACAACTTAGTAAAGAAAGAAAGAAAGAAATCTGCTGCCGAGGCTGCCAAGGTCTGCGGTAGGGACTCTTCTGTCTGTGAAATTGTGAAGAAGGAAAAGAATTTGTGCTGGTTTGCTGGAGAGGGGTGAGACACATTTACAGATTAGTATATAGTTTTTCTATTTTAAAAAATTATTATTTTTTTTTTATTGAGAGAACCGCCACCTCCCACAACCACATCTCAATTACAACTAAAATACAGAACAACCATTATTCAGAACCACCTGAAATCTGACTGAATGGATGTCTTACAACTAGAGAAGTAAAGGAGAATGTGCATTGAAGCTGGTAGGAGGGGCGGGGCATGGAACAGGCTGGTCCAACACCCATGGATGGTGTTTCTTTAATCGGAAGGTGATGTCTCCAAGGCCTCCCGTGAGAAGCAGGGGATCCCAGCAGCATACCAGGCCCCAGCCCAGGGTTCCAGAGCTGGAAAGAGAAGTCCCTGTAACTTCAGGCTGTAAGAGCAGCAGGGATTGTAGCTGAGTAACAGGGAGGCTGCTGGAGACCCAGGTGTTCCTCCTAAAGGGCCGGTGAATGAACTTACATGGTCCCGATTCCTCTGAGCTCCAGAACTAGGTGGAGGCTTTGGGGGAATCCAGGGACATTTGGGAAGGACTACACCAGTAGTTCTCAACCTTGGCTGCACATTAGAATCACCTGGGAATCTTTTTAAAATCCTGATTTCTGGGCCTCATCCGGAAATTCTGTTTCTTTGTTACTAATGTTGTGGCCCCACCCCATAACAAAGAAACAGAATTTCCGGAGGCTGAGGCTCAGAAATCAGGATTTTAAAAAGATTCCCAGGTGATTCTAATGTGCAGCCAAGGTTGAGAACCACTGAACTGGACTGTCTGGCATTGCAGCAAGAATGCTGGGAAGCTTTCTCCCAGATGCGTGCTTGCAGGGGTCATTG